CCACCCCACTGAGGGGGAATAAGCGAGCAGCTGTGTGGTGTTTAGCTGCCTGCCGGGTTAAACCACGACAGTCTATGATAAAAAGGACCTTGAATTACAGGTAAAAGGGAAAAAAAGGTACCCTGAAACACTGCAAATTTCCTACGTATAATATCTAAGGTGCAATTCTCCCCTCTTCTGCTCAACCTTGTTCCTGAAAATTTTGCCTGTTTGGGGGTAATTTCCACAGTGTCCTGCTTGGACTGATTTCAGGTGGTGTGAATGAGGAAGCTGAGGGCTGTTGGAAATTCATTCATTTCCCAGGAAATATTTCCTCGTCATCTGGAATGTCTGTTGAGCCAGCCTTGGGCCCAGCCTTTTATTTGTCTTTCTTAAGTCACAGAAGAACTATGACCTTCGTCAGGCCTTGGTCTCAGAGAACAAAGAATCCCTGCTCGGGCAGCTCATGGCCCAGTGAGCTGTGAGAGTAATAGCACAAGGGGAGCATCGGGTTTGCTAGAGGTGTGACCATAAGAAATGCTCTCCAGCCCTGCTACAGTATGTGAACTTGAAGCAAGATATTCAAACAAGGAGAGAGAAAATTTGAACTAATCCATTTGTGGGTTGGTTGTTTTGTTGTTTTTTTTTTTTTCTCTGGCCCTAAGATCAATGAACAGGGGAAAATTTCCAGATAGGGCTGAATAATGGAAAATCTTCCAGGGCAGGCTGTCCACATTCACTTGGAGAAACTTTGGACTCACCAGTGAGTACTACAAAAGGAAATATTGGAAGTCAACATATCTGGATAACCAGACATCCAGAAAAGTCCCCCAAGGCCCCAATCAAAAAATCTCAGAAGACCTCCTTGTGAGGATAAGGCCCCTCAGGTGTCCCACCCAGTGCTGAGGAGCAACCTGAGCCTGGCAGCAACCCCATGGTGTTGCCTGGAACAAAGCCAACATCTGTGCAAAGCCCAGCCCTTCGGTTACAGGTTTAATTACAAGAGCTAATTAGGTATCACCCAAGGGAAGAAGAGAAGGGAGATGCTTAAGAGCATCTTAATTAGGGTGAAAAGGGAGAAGAGAGGACGAGCTTATTCTGAGATTATTGAATTCAGTGATAAAGATTAGCTGAAGTGGGTTGAAGGAGGCATATTTTATAAATTCTCACACATAACAGGAAAGAACAGAATAACAAAACTTTATTAAAGAGGAAAATCCAGGAAAGCAGGCAACTTCCAAAGCTAGTTCTAAATATAAGTGCTAGGGTATCTTTCCTAAGCCACAACTTTTTGATTGAGCAGTACTTTTTATGATTGACAGTTCCCATAAAAGTGGACCTCTTGTGCCCTGCATGTGACTCTGGCATTTTTTCTGCAGCAGGAGTTCCTGAAGAAGAGCCTTTATAGGTGGCCCACAGGCAGCTAATTTTCCTTCTGTACTGTGGGACAGTTCTGTCCTCATCAGGTTAGGCAATATTTTTTTTGGTGGGACTTTGTTCACGTCTCACATTTGTTGAACTGATAAGTTCTACTCAGGAGAAGATGTGTTGACATAAAAATAGAAGGATGCTTTGAGTGAGGGGTATTTGGGT